TCTTCTTCTTCTTCTTCTTCTTCTTCTTCTTCTTCTTCTTCTTCTTCTTCTTCTTCTTCTTCTTCTTCTTCTTCTTCTTCTTCTTCTTCTTCTTCTTCTTCTTCTTCTTCTTCTTCTTCTTCTTCTTCTTCTTCTTCTTCTTCTCTTCCTTTCGCCCCCTTTGGTAGTTTCAGACCATAATTCTGTATTTAAATTGTGGAAAGTTGGCCCCTCCAGAGAAGGAAATATTAAAAGGGCAGAATATTATATTTCCTCAGAGGATCTTAAAGAGGCAGAAAAGCAGGCCCAGTTTTTCTTAACAGCCCCAAGACTCCCTCCCCCCCAAGCAGAAACCAGCTCTGTAGAAATGCAGATGTAAATAATGCATTCAGGAAGGTTGGAGGCCCCCAGCTAGAAGATTAAGAAGACAAAGACACCTAAAATATACATACCCCACCCAAAGTCTAAGACAGGACATAATAGGATTAACCCACAGATGCCAAAGGGGCACACCCAGACTCAGGTCAGAATACATGACATAGGAAACACAAAGCCTCAAACAAGAACAGAAAACAATTCCAAACAAAAGGCTCCAGAAGGTATAAAAACCCACTCCCTACATGTATTCTCTCTCCTTTTTTTCTTCCAGAGCCATCTTTCTGTCTGGCTCTCCTCTTCAATAAACTGCAACCTTCTTTCTAAACCAGTCTCCGTTTTGTTTATTCCCGGCTTGGACTGAACCACGATGAAGACTTTTCCTTCCACAAAATCTTAGAATGTTGTACAGATAGTCCTCAAAGTTACAGCCATAACGGCACCTGCATAATGGTTGTAAAATGGGTTGGTGACGGAACTGGTTTTATGCACTTTTTTGCAATGGTCGTTAAGGGAATTCCACACAGTTGTTAAGTGGACCCATTGTGTGCTATGGAGTGATGTTCCTGAAAACTTAAAGTAAGTGTCCATTTTCTAGAAAACCCTTATAAAATGTGGTCACATGACCAAAGGTCCATAAACGTGGTTGTGTTGCTGAGCTCCCAAAGTGCAGCCACGTGACCACTGGAAATTTGTATATGGGTCGTATACGTCCCCTTTTTCGGGTCTGTCGTAACTTGAGGACTACCTGTAGATTTGAACTTGGTGCTTGATCACTAACCCAATGTCCCCTTTATAATGAAAGGAAGGGATAAAAGTGTTTGTAAGTAAGTAAGTAAGTAAGTAAGTAAGTAATAATAATAATAATAATAATAATAATAATAATAATAATAATAATAATAATAATAATAATAATAATAATAATAATAATAAAGTTGGAAGGGACCTTGGAGGTTATTTAGTCTAACCCCCTGCTCAGGCAGGAAACCCTATACCATTTCAGACAAATGGCTGTCCAGTCTCTTCTTAAAGCTTCCAGTTTTGGAGCATTCACATCTTCTGGAGGCAGGTTGTTCCACTGATGAATTGTTCTAACTGTCAGGAAGTTTCTCCTTAGTCTAGGTTGCTTCTCTCCTTGATTAGTTTCCATCCATTGTTTCTTGTGCTGCCCTCAGGCGCGTTGGAAAATAGCTTGACTCTCTCTTCTTTGGGGCAGCCCCTGAGATATTGGAACACTGCTATCATGTCCCCCCTCGTCCTTCTCGTCATTAAACTAGACATACCCAATTCCAACCACCGTTCCTTATATGCTTTAGCCTCCAGTCCCCTAATCATCTTTGTTGCTCTTCTCTATACTTTTTCTAGAGTCTCTACTTGGCTTCTACTTGGCTTCTGTTCTTCCAAACAAGACCCATGGAGTCTTCTTTTCTTTTGTTGCAAATTCCAGCTCTAAAATGGCGCTGAGAAAGAAGCATAAAGTAACCGACAATTCTATGGAAAACATGGACATTTCCCCAAATAGTGGGAAGCACCCGGGTTCCAATTTTGCACGCCTCTGCTTAGGTCCTCCTGGCCTCCATCCTCCCTCTCTGTTTCATTTGTGTGATTTGATTGTGTGTTTTAATTGCAGGTAGACTCTCCTGAAATCCCCGAAGATGTCCACTACTGGCTGAAAAGTAACCGAATCAACAGCGAAAGAGTAAAGAAGGAACTCCAGCAAAATAACAAAAGCAAGTAGAAGGTTTCTTCAGATCTGCTGATGGGCCATCTTCAGAAACGGTTGGGCCACCTGTTCTTCTTCTGTGTAAAGCCAAAGAGATGTTATTCATAACCGTATCTAGTGTTTGTCACGAGTATCCAAGGGGTTGGGGAGGGCGTAGGAGGGCCAAGTTCACCCACCATGATCACATTATGCAAAGACTGACACAAACTATATAATTTACATCGTTTGAGAAAGGACACTGATGGACTTCCTCGTCACGATTTCTACCAGATGCCACCATATTCTGTGGACTGAAAGAACAGCAGGATCAGCCCTAACGAATGGAAGGCTGTAGGTCTGAAGAAAAAAAAGAAACTTTCGATCTGATACCTATAGAAGGTTTAATTAGATTTGAAACTTGCAAAGACACCTCACTGGGTCAATTGGTGCCAACATTATTCCTAGGATGAAGCCNGGGGAAGAGAGAGCTATGAGAGAGAGGACAGAGAGAAGAGAGAGAGGCAGAACAATAGAGAGACAGAGAAGCTGTACTACAGTGAGGAGGGCTGCTGCTGTGAATCTCATTTCCCAAGCCCTCCTTTCCCTGATCTTTGTGCCATTATGTGTAAGAGGAATCGTGGACCTCTAGTTAATCACAAGAGCCAGTCATGCCATGGAGCTACACATAAGGTGAATATGATTTTAGGCTGCCTCGGCTGAAGTTCACTTTCATAAAAAAGGACATTTACCATTACTTGTTTCTTCTCATTAGTTAGAATTTCTTTCTGGAATCTGAAAGCAGATTCCAGCTGAACATTATTCTTCTTCTTGTGCCATATCCGTTGTCGGACGTTGGCGATCATGTTGGCGATCCTGTTTTTATCAGCAGCTGCACGAAAAAGTGCTGCTGAGTTTTGTCCAAACCGGTCCCTTAGATTTTGAAGCCATGATGTTCTTCTTCTGCCTGGACCTCGCTTGCCTTCCATCTTTCCCTGGAGGATTAAATGGAGCACGCTGTATTTTTCTGGGTGTCGCATCACATGTCTGAAATATTCTTTCATTTTTTAATTGTTTTGATGATTTCCCTTGGCTTTCCCAGGCGGCTTATCACCTCCTCATTTCTGATCTTGTCAACCCAGCTTATACGTAACAGCCACCCTGTAAATCCACATTTCAAATGTTTCTAGTCTCTTCAGGTGGCCTTCTAATATTATAGCTGGTACGACCTGTGGTTCCCTGTAGAAAATGTGATATTTTTTTTTGCATCTAGACATTTTTATGCCTTCTCTAAAGAGGCCACTTGTTCGTTGGTGGTTACTAGACGATCCATGACTCATTGGGTCATCAGTGCAGAAATATTTCCTTACCGCAATCCTTAATGCCTTCAACACAGACAGAACTTCTAATATACTATTTCTAATATACTAATATACTGGGGGGGAAAAACCGGGATATATTCAGAGATGTATCTGCCTTGAAAATAGCCCACATTTGGGATGCATTCTGCAAATTAAAGTTGAGGCCCCTTGGTTTAAAAATCTCTGCTTTATGGCCCACCATTTCACCCAATTAAAGGTTACAAGAACAAGAGATTTAATAGTATATAGATTAGCTAGCCCACAAAGTACAGTATGAATTCTCCTGAGAACGCTTTTGTCTCATGAAATGAAGAACATGAAGACACTTGGTTGCAGTGTAAATTATCTGTTGCCCTGAATCATGCCTGGGAAAAAGCACTCCGCCTTCGGGTATATTTCTCAAACCTCATTGCGCAAAATATTCTAAATTCCCTGTGTATAAAATTCTTTATTGTTTTAACTTTGCACGGTGTGTTTTCTTCACTCATTCTAAGCGAAAGTTTTGGCCTTGATAAATTCTTCCTTTCATTTTTTCATTGTGAATCTTGCAATGAGTTGAGATAGATAGACAGACAGACAGACAGACAGACAGACAGACAGACAGACAGACAGACAGACAGACAGACAGACAGACAGACAGACAGACAGACAGACAGACAGACAGATAGATAGAGTGGTGGGATTCAGCCAGTTTGCACCACTTTGGCAGAACTGGTATAGATGGATGGATGGATGGATGGATGGATGGATGGATGGATGGACGGACAGACAGACAGACACAGACATATAGATAGATAGATGATAGATGGATGGATGGATGGATGGATGGATGGATGGACAGACAGATGGGCAGGCGGGCGGACGGATGGACAGATGGATGGATAGATGGATAGATGGATAGATAGACAGACACAGACAGACAGATAGATGATAGATGATAGATGGATGGATGGATGGACAGATGGGCAGGCGGGCGGATGGACAGACGGATGGATGGATAGATGGATAGATGGATAGATGGATAGATAGACAGACAGACAGACACAGACAGACAGATAGATGATAGATGATGGATGGATGGATGGATGGATGGATGGATGGATGGATGGATGGATGGATGGATGGATGGACGGGCAGACAGACAGATAGATGGATGATGGATGGATGGATGGATGGATGGATGGATGGATAGGTAGGTAGGTAGGTAGGTAGGTAGGTAGGTAGGTGGATGGATGGATGGATGGATGGATGGATGGATGGATGGATGGACGGGCAGACGGACGGACGGACAGACGGACAGATGGATGGACGGACGGACAGACAGACAGACAGATAGATAAGAGAGAGACAAATAGAGGGGCAGATGGACAGATGATAGATAGATAGAGAACTTTTGACTGTACTTAACTTACTGCAAGCTTACTGCATTTCTGTTAGTTTAAAGATGTTATTTTTTATGAGACTTTTTGGTTATATTTGATGTAGCATTTCATAACAAAACCCATGGATGCAATCTAAGAGCGCAGCATCTGCATTTTTCNTCACGATTTCTACCAGATGCCACCATATTCTGTGGACTGAAAGAACAGCAGGATCAGCCCTAACGAATGGAAGGCTGTAGGTCTGAAGAAAAAAAAGAAACTTTCGATCTGATACCTATAGAAGGTTTAATTAGATTTGAAACTTGCAAAGACACCTCACTGGGTCAATTGGTGCCAACATTATTCCTAGGATGAAGCCCGGGACCGTGCCTTCATCTTGCCGCATTTCCAAACTCTAATTTCATAGAAGGGCAAGTTGCATAAATTGTGGTTAGAACTTTCATCAGAGTTTTTGCAATGCCGTTCTGCAATCAGAGCCGTGGTGCAATGTTGCCTGCAGAGGCAGCCAATACACACATTTTAAAGGTGATCACCTTAACCTGCCCAAGTTAGGAGCAGTTGAGTTTGAGGCCTGCTTGGGAGATCATGGGGTTAATTGTGCAGGATCCAATCTGGGTCGGTTGCTGGGACCAGATGGTTTAGTCTCCTGAGCTTAGAGACCCATGCTGGAGCCCATCCTCAGGGAACTTCTTTCTAGCAGAGTGTGTGCTGCTCTGAGTGTGGTATTTATATGGTGCCTGTTGTATGTGGATTTTTAGATGTTGATTGATGTGTGTTTGTGGCTGGCTTTTAAGTGGTTGACTGTCATTTGCTTGTGCTGCCCAGCCCTCCTAAGTATTTGATAAGCTGGTGGTAAATCAGTACTCCTATTGCCCTTCAAGGGGCCCGTTTCCCAGGCTTCCATCACTTTCCCAGCTGTTTTTGTGCCTTCTCGGCCAACAATCTTAGTAGCTTATTGCCCCATCAATAAGTTTCTCCTTTGAAGCTCAGTTGAAGTAATTTCCCTGGCTGTTTTTGTGCCTGCTCGGCCAATAATCTTAGTAGCTTATTGCCCCATCAATAAGTTCCTCCTTTGAAGCCCAGTTGAAGTAATTTCCCTGGCTGTTTTTGTGCCTGCTCGGCCAACAATCTTAGTAGCTTATTGCCCCATCAATAAGTTCCTCCTTTGAAGCCCAGTTGAAGCAATTTCCCTGGCTGTTTTTGTGCCTGCTCGGCCAACAATCTTAGTAGCTTATTGCCCCATCAATAAGTTCCTCCTTTGAAGCCCAATTGAAGCAATTTCCCTGGCTGTTTTTGTGCCTGCTCGGCCAACAATCTTAGGAGCTTATTGCCGCATCAATAAGTTCCTCCTTTGAAGCCCAATTGAAGTAATTTCCCTGGCTGTTTTTGTGCCTGCTCGGCCAACAATCTTAGTAGCTTATTGCCCCATCAATAGGTTCCTCCTTTGAAGCCCAGTTGAAGTAATTTCCCTGGCTGTTTTTGTGCCTGCTTGGCCAACAATCTTAGTAGCTTATTGCCCCATCAATAAGTTCCTCCTTTCAAAGCCCAGTTGAAGCAATTTCCCTGGCTGTTTTTGTGCCTGCTCAGCCAACAATCCTAGGAGCTTATTGCCCCATCAATAAGTTACTCCTTTGAAGGAAGCCCAGTTGAAGTAATTTCCCTGGCTGTTTTTGTGCCTGCTTGGCCAACAATCCTAGTAGCTTATTGCCCCATCAATAGGTTCCTCCTTTGAAGCCCAATTGAAGTAATTTCCCTGGCTGTTTTTGTGCCTGCTCGGCCAACAATCTTAGTAGCTTATTGCCCCATCAATAAGTTCCTCTCTTGAAGCCCAGTTGAAGTAATTTCCTTGGCTGTTTTTGTGCCTGCTTGGCCAACAATCCTAGTAGCTTATTGCCCCATCAATAAGTTCCTCCTTTGAAGCCCAGTTGAAGTAATTTCCCTGGCTGTTTTTGTGCCCACTCGGCCAACAATCTTAGTAGCTGCAAAATTGAATGTGTGTCCATGCTCATTGTCTCCTCGTGGAGACACAAACTCATTGGTAGCCTCACACGGCAATGAACAAGGACACGTTCAATTTTGCAGCTACTGAGATTGTTGGCCAAGCAGGCACAAAAATAGCTAGGGAAATTACTTTAACTGGGCTTTCAAAGGAGGAACGTATTGATGGGGCAATAAGCTACTAAGATTGTTGGCCGAGCAGGCACAAAAACAGCTGGGGAAGTGATTGAAGCTGGGAAATGGCCCCTTGAAGGTCAATAGGAGTACTGATTTACCACCAGCTTATCAAGTACTTCGA